TTGTCCTTAGAGTTCCGTCCTCTGTAAATGGACAGTCTCTTGCATGTACTGCAAAACATCTATACAAAGATTAAACTATGCTCAGATACTGTCTGGCTATATGACACTTGTAATAGGTCATATTACAATTTAACTTTTGATTTATTATTTACAAGGTGATTTTAGGTGTAAACTGCTGCTTTATAAGTGTGTTTAAATTTGCTGAGTGCATTCTGCTTGAGAGCTACAACTGCAGAGTAGGTTTTAATGCTTATGGGTGCTTAAGGGAATAAAGTTACTAGGCACTTTCAAAGGTGAATATAAACAGATTATTTGACCCCAAATTTGATGAAAAGCTCTTGTGTAATTTACTTTACAGAAAGTGCCTACTGTAGTTTGAGTATTTGCATCTGGAATTTCAAAGTTGGCCTTTGAGATGGGCTGTGGAGGAGACCAAAAATCCAGGAAAATACTAGCTGTTTCAGCTTTTTCTGGTTAGAGAGGATATTGACCCTCATTCCACGCTGTTTTCCATAAAAGATTTATACTTTTGCAGGGGGACAGGATGGGATGTAGTAGTTCCCTACTGCCTTTTAGAAATAGTGGCTCTGTGTTTCTGGGGCAGTGGGTCTTCTGACTCCTTCAGTGGTGGGCACAAGGAACGGAAACATGGAAACATGTGTTGCTGACTCACTTGGGGCTCTGGCGGGTGCAGGGGAAGCCTTAGGACTGAAGCAATTGGATGCAGTCCAGCAGAAATCCCACTGTGATTGTAACAACAGAGCAGGTAACCCATAATTTACTTAAACCTTTGAGGTGTGGGTGCCCAGCTGTGGCCTAGGTGCCTGTGGCAAGTGGTTTACCCTTGTTGTAGGTTTGTAAGCAGGTGGTCAAAGTACCCAAAAGCTCATTGTCACAACAAGAAGTAGCTGCTTTCTTTCAGTTTTTAAGAGATGACACAATCCATTTGTTTTTCTTCATGCATGCATTTGGGCAAGGCAAGGTGAATGAGCAATGGCATCAGTCAGCTTCAGTAGTAGCTTGCGGAGGGGTATTGGAAAAGGTATTTCTGTTTTCTTTTCTCTCTCTTTTGTTTTAGATGTGCAGTGGGCATGAACAAAAGGTGCCTGACAGTCTCTGCAGATCTTATGTTTGAATAGTTCAGCAAAGATGGGGTTTGTAGAAGGCTGTTGTATTGTCAAGACCCACTCTCTGTCTCTGATGATAATATTTTACTGTAATTCTCTGTAGCGTTACCTGTGTCCTCCCTGATATCTTTAGTGGATAAGGATATTTCACATAAAATAGTGTTCTTGTTTCACAGGCTTGATTTATTCACAGAGTAAGCACAGGAGGGTCCTGTGAGGAAGACTGCATATTGAAGTTTCATAGGGTGCTTCTGGAAGGAGTTCAATTTAAAGTCATAGACAGCTTTCGGTGAAGCATTTATAAACAGATTCTAAGAAGTTAATTTTCCTTGGACATACTCTTCTAACATAATTTCCAAATAGGACTCAGAAGTCTGAAAAACAAATAAAACATATGAACCATATCTTTCCTTTCACAGCTCTGTGGTATCATTATTGCTTAGTCTGTTAGTGCTGTGGGGGAGCAGAGCATCCTTATTTCTGGAGAATGTTTGTAGAATTGAGCTTTTAAAGGCTTTAGAGACAGCAGTGCGTCTCTGCAGAGGTGTCTAGGAAGTTCTCATTGTCTCAGCAAATCCAGGCAGACTTCTACTGCAGAACAAAAAGCTAAACTTGACCAAAGAATGAGGTTCCTGCTTCTAGATTTAAGTCTCGGCTCAAAAGCATGAAATAATTATTAGTTTCTCAACAAAATGCTTAAGGTGTTAATGATTATTATTATTATTATTATGACATAGGCAAGTGCATTTTTCATTGACAATCATTCACTCGAACTGCTGCACTGCTTTCAGCTGAAACTAAAAATTCCCAGCAGCAAAATGAAATAGCAAGTCCAGACCAAGCAGCCTTGTAAGGTAGGCAGGGCTAAAACTCATCTCTTCTGTCATGCTTTCAGTTGCTAAAGTTCCTGTGTGACAGTGGGATTTTTAGAAAAGGAACTTCTGTGAATGCTTAGGGTGGCAGGCAGTTTCCCATTTCTGTGTGTACAGACCTGGCTCTGTTACATGTGGTTGGTTGTAGCTCAGCTCCACAAGGCCCTTCTCCATCATGGTACAGACATGGAGTGCTAGCTGAGTCTGCTCTTGAGGAGTGATGTGTCCAGATGGGAATGCATTGTTAGCCTGGACCTGGCGTGCTTATTTTTCATGTCTTCTCAATATTTATGGTATTACAGATGTTATTAAAATAATAAGTTGAAGGTTTAGTGTTTTATGTATGGTAAGAAATAGAACTGGTTTTGGGTGACTGAAAGATGACCACTGCACCTCATGGGCTAACTGTGGAAGCAAAGGTGGTCCTTGCCAAGAGGAGGGTATGTTCTGTTGAGTGGAGTAGCTGTTGCTGTATCGATACCGTTTAGTAAAGCAGCTGCATTGTTTTTCAAATAAGTGTTCAAAAAGAAACAGCCATGAGCAGAAGCTGGCTGTCTAAATCTTGAAGGCACATGGCTGCTCTTCATTGAGTTGGCTTAGTTCATAGCCTTGAGGCTGACTGCTGAAGTGAAATTTACTTGATTTGTCAGAAAACTCTCTTTGGGTCCCCTGGGAGTTTGGGTTTACTTCCACAACAAAGTAAATATAGAGAGAGTGATCAAGGTGCGTGTTCTCATGCATTGTCCTCTGAGAGTATTTTACTGTTGGAAGACCTTGCTTGGCCACATGTGAAGAGTGATGGGAGCTGGAGACTGTAGTGATTCCAGGCGCCTGCAGGAAATACCCAATTGCACTGTTATGGCAGGTGTGAACAGGTGATTCTTAGGAAGTCTTCAGTCGAGTTTTGGGGCTCCTTAGGGTTTTGACAATTATGCTTATATTGGTTAAATCCGTGACCGTCAGTGGTACCTCTGTTGTAAATTTTAGAAATCTGAAGCAGGGAACTTAATATTGTGGATGTGATGATAGTGTGGTCAGTACTGTACAACAGTCAAAAAAACCCCCAAACAATAAAAAAAGTCCATGCTCCAGGGAATTTGTGCTTTAAAAATAGAGATTATACAGTTCACATACACAGTGGATGATCAGAAGGTGAATTTGCTGCTAAGCAATGTAGTTAGAATGCTGATGCCTTTAATAGCATTCTTCATCTCCTGTTTAAAAAACATTGAGCTTGATATGAAGCACACTGTTTTTTGGTATTCTGTCAGTGGCTTAAAAGGTAGTTTGTAAAGCACTTACCTCAGATAAGGTTCGAGGAATATCTTTCCTGATAATTAAACCAGTCATTGCATTTCTCATTTATTGGATTATTTTTTCCTCCTGGAGTTCTTTGGAATTGTGCCATGTTAGCGTTTCTCATAAACCTGGTTCTGTACCTGTAACACAGAAAATGAAAATGCTTTTTAAGTGGCATAAATGATTTTACATTTTATTTTTGGTGTGTACTCAGGCTGCTTGGAAAAAATGGAGCTTGCAGTCTTAATGCTTAGGCATTAAGACACTCCTGTCATTCAGATTTTAATACAGACCTGTTGGGTACTTGATTACACAGAAGACAGCAGTGAACAGTCTGGTCTGCAACAAAGCGCATAACACACCAGTAGCAAGTGAGAGCGCCTTGAGTCTGTGGTTTGGAGTTCTCCTGGTCAGCTTGCTCTCCTGGCAGCCCATGTGAGATGTGATTGCAGGACATAATGAAGTAACACCGATGTTCCTGGTCTCTGGCTGCCTATTTCAGGACCTGGTTTTAGCACAGAGCCTTTTAAAATAATGTTTACTTGATGATTTCCAAGAACAGCTGAGAATTTTTGCAGTAGGCATAACCAGTCTGATGCTGTCAAATTGAAAAGGGTACACGAAGATATTTGGCTCTGAGATACTTTATTACTCTTCTGGCTATAAAACTGAGTTAGTGAAAAGAGAGTTCAACCTGCCACAGCTTATTGCGGGGATATTTTCCATTTCATTTTATTGCCCTTTGAGGATTTGATTTCTTGTGATAATACAGTTAATTAGTTGTGATGCCTCCCTAACACCAAGCCACAGTCACTGTTTTGCTTTTAGGAATGTTAAACTGGTGCATTGTCGCAGTGGAGAGAAAAAACCCACAAGTGATGCATATGCCCTTTATTTAAATAGTATGCGCCTGTATTTGACAGACACTGACATTAAGTGAGCTTTGAGATGACTGATAATCATGGTTGTGTGCTGGTAAAAACTTAACCCTCCTGAGCAGAGAGTTGAATGTTGTGGCTGGAGGTTTGTCACTGATGGGTTTGCTTTGTTTCTCAACGCTGTTTCATTGTGTAGGTTTGCTAAAGGCTGCTGGGGCTGGATTGTGTCTGCATTGCTGGGGTTGAGGCACAGAGCCACGCAGGCCTCGTGTTTCAGCAAAGGCAGCTCTTCATCTTTGATCGTGGAGATCCCAACTAGTAAAACTTGAAGTGGTTTTAATAAATGAACAAGTGCCTATACATCAGTTTTGCCATGGCAACTGTTGGTAGCCCATGATGAATATGACAGTTTAAAGCAGCTAAATTGAGTGGAAGAAAAAGATATGCTACCTTGTATCTAAGTTGGGATAAAGCCTACAGACTGGCAAGTAAAATGAGCTGCTTGAAAGTGATATGGTGAGGAGTCTTAAATCAGTGCAGGCCTCCTTTCCCCTCTCCCTGGTCATCTGTAACACCCTTCTTCCTTCTGAGTAGCCTTTGGGCAGCAGCGAGGTTTTGAGTTAGCGTAAACTTGTCATACTGCACCTGGTACATTGAGAGTTAATAATCTAGGTAATTTCAAATTGACTTGTTGTGTCTCTTTCAAAAAAAATAGTATATAATTGTATATGCATGGTTTCAGTGTAGGTTAAGAGAAATGCCTACTGCTTCCTTCAGCGCAACACACTTCCTCAAGCTGCTCTTTTGCCTGGTGTTTCTTGCAGGTGTTCCGCAAGGATCTCATTAGTGCCATGAAACTACCAGATTCTCACCATGTCAACCCTGAAGAATACTATATCTTTGCGGACACGTGGAAACAGGAATGGGAGAAAGGAGTTCAAGTTCCAGCCAGTCCAGAAACTATTCCACAGCCATCTCTCAGGTAATGGCGATCAGACACAGATCACCTGCACAAAACCTCAACTTAGGGATGATGGTCTCTCAAAAATAGTTTGCCTAAATGCAGTCAGCTTTTCTGTGTTGTTATATTTAAATCTCCAATGTGGCAGCCTTCAGGCATGTTCTGAAACCAAACAAGTACCAATTTGGAAAGCATCTTTGTGGCACTTGATTCCAGACGTGGATCTGTCTGTACACTGCTGGAGTATGTACACTGGAGTATCTACATTGTGAGTTTAAAAAGAGGATCTTTTTTCCCAAGTCACGCAGTACTATGGGTTAAAAACTGTTTTCTTATTTGACTGTGGTGAGTTTAATAAATTAAAAATAAAGCCAAACTTACATATGTTACCTGTAAGGCTTCCCTATAAAACATGATGATATAGAGCAGTAGGCACACAATAGTTACTGATAAAGTTACTCACTTGTTCATGTAATTTAATTTTGATCGTTTTTGACAAAGCTTTAACCCTTTCTGCCTTCCCTTGCCACAAATAGCTGCTTGACATTATGGAAGCTCAGTGATCTCAGTTTCAGGAGATAGATAAATAACCTTTTGTTCTCTCACACTGTGCTTAGACTAGGAAAACATAACAGTGCAGTCCTGCAACCTTTCCTGGTGGCAACGGAGTGTGTTTCAACATAGAAATGTTATTGCCAGTGTGGTCTTCGAGATGAAGATAAATGAATTGTCCAGTGAAAGCGCTGATGCCAGCATAATTTAATTTCCACTGAGGCTATTGTCAGTACCAAGTTATTAAAAATAAATATATTACATCTCATACCAGCAGTATTACATTAGAGGAAAAAAATTGCTATAGATCTGGCTGGACCAGAGAAAAGAAAAGCTCACAAGGGACAAGAGGAAAAAAATGAGCAAGGTGAATGAGGAGGAAGAATGGCAGAAGAACATTGTTTGTGCTAACACTGACAACCCATGTTGTCCAGGAAGAATTATGTGGGATACTGCTTGACTGCTGCCTGCTCCTTCTTTATTCCTCTTGCCTTATTTCCCACAGCTTTTCTTTTCCCCTTGTCCTGTGGAGAGTTAGCTCCAGAAAGCATGCAGAGCTGCTCACGCATGGCACCGTTCCATTCAGTGTCTCCTTGGCTTCCTTTCATATGCAGGGCCTCTTGCATTGAATTCAGAGAAAGATTGACTATCTAGCTGAGGTCTGTCTTTCCATTCCCATAGGCTAGTTTATTAATCAAATGCTGAGTTTTATCTCTTAAAATAACTGAAAGATTAAAAACACCAGTATTTTTCTCCTTTACTTCCTGAATGATTTTTAGTGGTTTTTTTCCCCTTTACATTTTTCCTTTGGCATCAGAATGGTTCTTACATAACAAAAATAATATATTTGTAACATAGATAAAGTGTAATTTACAAAATAAGGGTAGACTGTTTATCCCAAATGAAGACCAAGGATCTCCCCCTGCAACACACTGCAGTAGAATAAATTAAGCTTTCCTGAAAAAGCTGTTATTTTCAAGAAATCAGTTGGCAAGATATCCTTCTATCATTTAAGAAGAATATAGAACAAAGATTGTAGGGGTTTTTGTGCATAATACTCTCTGTGGGTTTCAAAAGCACTTGCATCATCGTACTAGTAGCATTTGTTAAATTGAAAATCATATGCAGAGGCTTACATTTTTTGAAGGATTCTGTATACATAGCAAACCTTAGCACATTTTCTGTGAAGAAATGACATTTACAGAATCCCATCTCCGCAGCCTGGCTACACTTAGCGACTAGTTTAAAATCTGTGAAACTCTAGGTTTGTTTGCACTTAGAGTAAATATTTCATGTCTTTCAAAGATGGGTCTTAAAAAGCTGGAACTCTCCATTTGGTTTTTTACTTTCACTCTAGGGTTGTAGCAGAAAAGGTGAAAGAAGTACTGTATACACGACCCAGGAAGTACATCCACTGTTCCAGCCAAGAGCCCTCAGAACCAGGCTACATCAACATTTTGGAACTGGCAGAATCTGTGTGTCGCTATGACTTGGATGACATGGACATCTTTTGGCTTCAGGAGCTAAATGAAGAGCTTACAGAAATGGGTAATTCCATAACATGTTCTAATTTTAAAAGCAGCAGTTAATTTCTGCTAATTGAGTTGTAGTCTGCTGTGTGAGATCTCTTACAGGTTACTGAATGAGAATTGAATGGAAATGCTAAGAAAAAAATAGGAGGTAAAAATGCTTAAAATAACTACTTGCTTGATCTGTTAACGTTTCATGTTTTACCTGTTGTGCCTAAAAACTTCACATCCAAAATCACGTGCAACTTTGCAGACTGAGGCAGCAGAGAAAAAGCCCACACCAGGTGGAATTAATTTTAGGACTTCAAAAGTTAAAAATTTTGTGTAGGAGAAGCAGATGTTTCCATTTCTTAAACTTGAACATATTGTTGCTACAGATTCAGAGTTCTGAGGAGCTTGCATGCTAGGTTCTTAACAGAGTGATTAAGTTTCACACGTGTTAGCCCATTTAAAATCAGCTAAGTAACCTTTATTTTTTCCAGGCAAGTTGTGGGTATAGAGGGCTATGAGGGGGAGTGAGCTATGGAATATCATCTTGGAATTATCACTGGAATAACTGAGTTGTGGTGGAATTCTTCCATGGATGATTGCAGGTCCTTTAGGAAGGACAGGTGGGCAAAAGAGGGAGATATTTGGCATCTCCTGGAATTGCTGTTCACAAACAAGGAAGAACCTGTAGGGGGATGATAATCGATGGTGGCATTGGCTGTAGTAGCTGTGAAGTAGTGGTGACTGAGGTCCTGAGGAAAGGAAGTGTCTTCTGCTCCTGGACTTCAAAAGAGCAGGTTTCTCCTTGTTTGGATAACTGGTGGGTGGGATCTGGGAAGCAGCTCTGAGGAATGGAACTACTGAAGAGAACTAGCAGGATTTTAAGTAGACAGTCTCCTCCAAGCACAAGAAAGAACCATCCAGACATTCAGGAAAACAAGTAGATGTGTCGGGAGACTGGCTCGGTGAAGGAGGGAACTCATGGCTGAGCTCCAGTGCCAAAGGATTTATGTAAGACATTTCAGAAGCAAGGACAAGCTTCCTGGGCATAGAAGGATGCTGTTAGCAAAACCAAAGCTTTTCTGGGGGGAAGATCTCCATCCATGGACATTTTCAGGACTTGGCTAGACATACCTCTTGAGTAACAACCTTATCTGGATTCACTGTTGACTCTGCTTGGGGCCAGGGATGAGGCTGGAGCCCTCCAAATGTCCCTTCCTACCTGGATGATTCTGTAATTCTTTTCATTCCGGGAGTGAGAAAATAGCCAGTCAGGGGAGAGAAGATTTTAACAGCAGAAGGCACTTTGTATCAGCACTCCTTTATTTTTTCCATCTACCTGTTTACTGGTTGCAACAAGGAATCCAAATTAGTGGCCATGTTCTTGTGCCATAGGCCACCAGTTAAAATGTTACCTTCTGATACTAATGTTATGTGAATATCCTCTGATACTTGTGTTACATGAATATCCCAAGCTTTGAAGGTCTGAGTAAGTAGCCAACTATGGGCAACAACATCTTTTTTGACTGAGGGTTTTGAAATCTCCAAACTGCATCCTCTCTTGTAGCTGTGAACTTCACAGGGTTTCTTACGCAGTGTACGTCCTGAAGCTGCAAGCTGAGGACCAGTCTCCTCGCCGTCCTTTTCAAGTGGTTCTGCTAAGTTTGCTTACTGTTAAGTGTATATAGCATGTCTGGTGTTCAAGTGAACAGACTGTGTGGATTGCCAACAGGATATTTATCTACTATTTAAAAAAATCTCAATAAAACAATAAAAGCACTTTTCTTATCAGTTGTGCTGGATGGTTCTGGGTGGTGGCAACTTCTGTATCTTTATAAGATCTAGAAGTATTCTCAATAAGTTTTATTTTCTAGGGAGTTAGTCTTCAGAAGAACATTGTGTGTGATTTTAAATAACATTGTGTGTAATTTTGGATGTCATTAGCGTTTCTTAATGTAATGGAAGTGGAAGGAGGGTTGTATGGGAGCAGCTAGCAGTTACAAAATCTGCTGTCTGTCTCCTATGCTGTACTGTTTTCTTCAAGATGCAGACTTGTATTTTATGTACAATTTAAGCTTTTGCTCCAGTAGTAGTTCTGCTTGTATTTATAAGGTAATGCTGCAAATAGCCAGTGAGTGAAAAAGGTTTGATGTTGGGTTTTGGTTTTTTTTTTAGTATGCGTGATGGGAGAGAAGACACTGTGCCTACTGTTTTAGTTGCTGGAAATTGTCCTTCTCTCTCCCTGCATCTCTGACTCAGTCAGAGGCACCTGAGTGTCCTCTAATTCCCCTTCCCTGTTCTTTGTTGCAGGATGTGGGCCCCTGGATGAAAACACGATGGAAAAGACAATTGAAGTGCTGGAGCGGCACTGTCATGAGAACATGAATCACGCTATTGAGACTGAAGAAGGGTTGGGTATTGAATATGACGAAGACGTCATCTGTGATGTGTGCCGGTCCCCTGACAGTGAAGATGGGAATGACATGGTGTTTTGTGACAAGTGTAATATCTGTGTCCATCAGGTTAGTGCCTGCAGAAATGTTGACACTGTTCTGTGGTCTTAGTTTGCCTTGGCAAGTGTGGAGTTTGAACTGGTATTTAATGTTATAATAGGAGAGCTTTGTGATTTTCAAGTTATGATGGGTGGTGCAATACTAAGTTGAGTTTTTGTGCCCTAACTGTTCCAGCATGCTAAGTGGCCTAGCATGGTAAGTACGTAGGCGTCTGCAGTTTAATAGGAACATAAAGTGTCTTCTTGGGACTTGCAAGTACTTCCTCTGTGACCGTAAACAATTTTCACCTGTTATTAAACCTGCTTTTGAAGATAAATAAACAGGAAATGGTGGCTTGCCTATATGTGAAGAATCTAAAGATCATTTGTTTCAGAGCTGGGATTTTTCCTTCTTGACTGACTAGTTCATTGGCCAGACACAGGCTGTCCAAATTTAGCCCTCTGAAACCACTTTAACAGGCTGATGCTTTTCAGAAGGCCTAAGCACCTGCAGTAACTGTGCTCTCAGTCTGAATGTTGCTCACGTTTGTAGTGTTTCGGATGTAGCCAAGACTGAGCTCAGCGTGGTCAGGCAGGGGTATCCTTACAGTCAGAAAAGGGTAAGAGTCCTGTGGTTTCTGTACGTCCCGTTTTAGAAGGTTTTTGCTATAAATTGATAAGAGACTAAGAAGGTTTTTTTAAAAATATATTTTTGTACTGACTGCAAGTAATACTTGGAAAATGTATCTGGCTGGAAAAGGACCTGTCATCTCCCTGCTTGCAGTGGGCTGCCTTCCAGGCCCGCTGCTTTCCTGATCTGATTCACTGTGTGAAGCATCCACGTGAGCCTGAGTGCCAGTAAGGCGGCCGGCGACAGGAATAGGGCCAGCAGCTGAGCCGCCCGCTCCAGCCCCTGCTAGTGCCGGTTCAAAAGCAATAATGAATTTGCAGTCGGAGGCTTGTGGTTGCCTGCTGACAGCTGAGCTCGAGCTGATGGCCTGCTGCCTCCTTGCTCCTGACCCTTGCCTGTGCCAGGTCTGCTCAAAAGAAACTGGAGAGTGTCTGGGCTAGAGCTAATCCTACAACAGCAACCACATTTAAAAAAAGCTGGGGTTTTTTGTTTTGTTTTTTTTTTTTAGTCTGGATTGGACCCTGGTTCACCAAGTAGCCTCGGGTCTGTTTGTCATCACACAGCTTGGAGGTGGTGGGGAGGAGGAGTGTGAGAGATTTCCTCCCTCACTGGTCCTTCTTGTGCTGGCTCAAAACACATTGTGAAGTTACTGGTTTAGTAGTCTAGGCCTCCTCCAATCATTAGTTGGATTAAATTAGAAAATAGTTGCAGTCCATTTCTAACCCTTTGAATGTGATCTTAGGTGTAATGCCACTTCTGCTTTAGCAATAGAAGGAATCCTGGTGGGAATGTGACACATAAGAGAAAAAAATTGCTTGTAAAATTTAGATTACAGCTCCCCCTGTTGGGTTTTTACAACAGTCATCACATCCAAATAGCATTTAGGTTAGTCAGTCTTGGTGCCTCCATAATGCAGGCCTGACATAAATGTGCAATGTTTTATGATACTGCTTCATATTAAATACTGGGATCTTATAATCAGAAGACTAGGCAGGCAAGTGTGGGAATTTTATACTACATTTGAATCTGAAAGACGGGTTAAAGCTAATGATCCTGTTCTGTTGAGGCTTTCAATGTCACTGTTCCCAGAGATGGTGTTAGGAATGGTGGGATTTCCTCTGAAAGCCACCCTTTTGATAAAGCTTTTATTTTGGAGCAGTTGAGTGGAATTAGACCTTGGTGGCAGCCAGTGGTTTCAGATACACTCAGTTTTAATGTGCGTGTGTGTATGTACAGCAGGATGTATCTGGATACACATGTAGTTAGCCATTAAGAGCTGCTAGGAATCTGAATCAGAAAGCAGGCAATCTTTTTCTCTTTTTTCCTTTTTGTTTTTAATTCTCAAACCTAGCAAAACTTACTACATTTCTCATTTTCTGAGGGGTTAAGTGCAATACTCAGGAAATAGACATAAAACCTTGTACCTCATAATTCCAGTATATACTGTAATTTTTGTTGCAATATCATGTAAATATTTAAAGTAACAAACAATTCACAGAACTGTAACCACAAAGGTAATTTATTGTTGCAGGAAACAGTCTTCAGTCAAACAGCTCATATCCCTTCATGTCTAAATAGAATTATGTTGGAGTGTAAAGTTATTAGTGGTAGGAAATTGCGATTTTAAAAAGGATGAGATGCAGAAGCTAATTTAAAGCAATATCTGCATTTTTTTTTTGCTTCAGAAATTTAAAAGTCACTAAAAGCAAAGACAAAGGTTCTTAACACCAGTGGTGTTGTGCAGTCATAATGAGTATATTTTACCCTGTAAACAAATAACACCAGCACATGTTTGAAAAAGAAACCAGCATTAAAAGAGTTTGCTTTGCAGGCTGTTTATCTCTTTGATCACTTGGCTCATTTTAAGGTAAAGAAATTAGAGGATTAAATAAAGGCCAAACTGCACCTTTAAGCTTTGCTTTGTATAAGTATTAATGTTTGTGTGTGAAATCATATCAGTGCCATGATCTCAGTACCTGTTTTCCTCTAAGGCGTGCTATGGAATCTTAAAAGTACCCGAAGGGAGCTGGCTGTGTCGCACTTGTGTCCTGGGAATACATCCTCAGTGCCTCCTGTGTCCCAAAAGAGGAGGTGCAATGAAAGCTACCAGGACAGGGACGAAGTGGGCACATGTGAGCTGTGCTCTCTGGATTCCAGAGGTAAAACCTAATTTCTGCCTCTTCCTTTTGTATTGCAGACTCCTCTGTCCCCCTCCTTCTTGTTCCCTCCTCTGTCTTTTTACATTCTCATGATTTAAGGTATCTGTCTGGCTTAATACTGGGCTTTATTCTGATGAGTCCGCACAATCTGTGAGGACTGGGAGAGAGTCCAGCTTATGTTCTACTAATTAATCGCTTTGTCCCCTCCATTCACTCGGCAGTCACTTCTTGGTGTCATTATGGTATCTGAGTGACCTGCTAGAAAGGGTTACTGGTGTAAGTTAGTGTTCACTGTACCACTGCAGCTTTATCATCTTTCTTATTTTCTGATGAATTTGTGTGCTCAGTGAGGTGTATAATTTCCATGAATACTTCCTGTCTCTCTTTTTTTCTTTTCTTCTTTTTATACCCCCCTCCCCGCCAATTGCATTATTTTTTATAGGATGGATGCTAAGATTTGTAGTTAAGGTTTTTTTGAACTAAATTGTTTTTTGAATGGTGGGGAGATGAGGCTTTTTATCTTCTATATTTTATAAGGAAAGGCTTTTTTCATATGTCTGTACCTGCATATATGGAGAGTTTCGTAATGAAGCTTTACACTTCTCCATTTTGAATCAAGTTTAGCATCACGGTATAATTCTGTAAATCAGAATATTCACTCTTGTATAGGTAGAGTTTGTATTTAATTTTGTTCTTGGAATATTTCTGGTTTCTTTCTTGTAAAATCCACAAATCCATTACAGGGGGTGGTTTAACGTGAGGCAGTAGCCAGATCTGTCGTCACTGTGACATCAGGAGGGTGGATGCCTTATTTTCTGAACCTTCTGCTCCCAAGTGCAGCCAGGCCTCACATTTGCAAAAATTTGAGTAAGATGTTAAGATTCTGGGTGGATTTTTTTTTTTTTAACATAGCAACCAGATGCAATGTGCAATTCCTAGCCCTGTCTCAGGCATATATCTGCTATTCAAGGAGGTTATCTTTGCAGTTGCCCTTCTGCTTGTAGTTCCTGGCAACTCTCCTACCTTTAAGGAGAGAGGAGGTGAGAGGAATAAAAGAAAAATTAAAGTTAAAAAAATAAAAAAAAACAAACCACTAAACTCCTGACTTCTCCTGTACTTATGAAGTGTCTCGGATGGAAGCTCTCCTGGCTCTGAGCAGACTGGTTTTCCCAAGAGATCCTTTCTGCATGTGGTTGCCTTGGTGTTTTTGCCAGCAGGAGAGGAACCAACAGGTTTGGGAAGCAGGTGATGGCAGGGCAGGGAGTGCACTCTGCCTTCCTGCCTGCCCACCTCCCTCTGGCTGAGGCAGTGGAGCTGCTGGGAAGCACCCAGGTGGGACAGTTTGAATCCAACTGCTCCTGCAGCCCATTTGGTGGCTCCAGGCCTCGCACACCTCCTCCCCTCCACGCTGATGCCAAGTGCGTCAGCCATAGCGAGGAGGTGACACCCACCAGTAGGGACGGGAAATGCCTCTTGGATCTGTTCTCTCTCTTGGTCTGCTGCTTGTCACTTGTAAAACAATTCAGTCACTGCAGAAGACAGAGGAACCTTGGGGAATCTCTGCTAAAATGGCAGGTCAGTTCCTGTCTGGAGAGTCACTGCAGCCTTATGTTAATGACAGAACAAGGGGAAATGGGTATAAGCTGAAAGAGGGCAGGTTTAGATTAGATATTAGCAAGAAGTTCTTCACTGTGAGGGTGGTCAGACACTGGAACAGGTTGCCCAATTTTTGCAAATGTGTGGATGCCCCCTCCCTGGAAGTGTTTAAGGCCAGTTTGGGTGAGGCTTTGAGCTTTTGGGGAGTTCCCCACTGGAACTCCCCAAAAAGAAACAGAGGAATTTTAAAGTCACTGCTGTTTCCTCTTGTGGCCCTAACAAAACAGAGCAAGGTGAAATTTTATGTGCTGCAGGGGACAAGAAAGGCCCAGAGTTTGAAGACCTGAGGATGGATACATCAAGGGAGAATGTGTATTCTCATATGCCTGTTTTTCATCTCCCCAAGATAGTTCCACACTGGAACTCCCCAAAAAGAAACAGATGAATTTTAAAGTCACTGCTGTTTCCTCTTGTGGCCCTAACAAAACAGAGCAAGGTGAAATTTAGAGAGGAATGGGCCATAAACATGTCTGTGCCTTGTGGTAAAAGGTTCAATGAGGGACTTCACGAATCCCCAAGTACAGGCTAGCATTGTTGCAAGCAATTGCACCAGGTATTTTCCTTCACTGACTCATTCACCACTGTATCAAAATGTTTTTTCTTCCCTCCCTTCCTTGTGAGCTAATGCTGTTGAAAGACTTTATTGACCCTCACTTGACTGACTGGGACATTTGAAGGTTTTTACTTTCCGAAGTGTACTCCCTGAGACCAGAATACTTATACCAAGTGCTTTGAAATTCAAGGTCCTTCTCTGCTGTAGATAACCATTACAGTTACACCCTCCCTCAATCGTTGTTGTGTTAGCTGAATCAGAAATTTAATTTTCCTTGCTACAGCTGGAAAGGTATCAAATTGAATATCTTTAGCTGCTGTTCTGGGTGGTTGTGCTCCAGCCACTGGGTTGCTCTTCCCTGCCACCCATGCAAATCGTTGTGCACTCCTGCAGCTGCTGGTGGCAGGTTAGCACAGGAGCAGAGGACAGCAGGGAACAATCGAGGTGGCAGCTCATGTGCATAACAGTCACAGAGAAGAGGCTTCAACAGCCCATTGTCTTCACTCTCTCCCACTCTTAAAATTTCTTCAGAGTACCACAGTCAAAATGTAACCTGATAAAAGGTGAAGAAATAACAGAGAAAACGGCTCCGTGTTGTGGCAGATGGATCATTTCTGCCTTGGGATGGGAGGTTTTGGGGAATTAAAAGGTTGGCCTCTGTGCTTCTTGGATCCCTCATGAGCAGTGAAGTTCAAACAGGCTTTGCATTGATTCCTCTCTTTGAATATCAGAAGCATGCAGGCAGCATGAGGCCAGTATAAATAAACCGCACCTGACTCTGTAAGCGCCTCTTTGTGCTTTTACAAAGTGGGGTAATATAAACAGGCAGTGTTACAAGCTGACTGGACAGTATTTCCAACATAAATGTTTCCTGACCTTATTGAGTCCCCTCTGGGGAAGGAGCAGGGAGAGCATTAAAAGGGGCAGAGAGGCAGAGGGGGAAGGTCTCTGTCAATTCCCAACTCCTGCTGGGAAGCATGGTGGAAAGCTGGTATTACTCAGTCTCCAGAAAAATTAACTGAAGGTTCTGATTTCTTTTTGGAAGGAATATACAAAATCTGACAATTTGATAGTCCCTCAATTCCCAAAGAAATCTTGCCTCTTGGTGTAGCAGTGTACAATATTGTTTGAGAAATATCTGTGCAACTCGTAACCAGCTCCGTTTTGAGCAAGGTCAGGTTAGGTTAATGAAAAGTTCTTTCATTTCGGAAGCAAAAAAGCTACTTTTGATAATGTTTAAGTGTGCTGGACATGGTTTTGTGGAACCATTCAAGCATTTCAGGGACAGCTTTGTCACTTTCCCACCAATTTGTAGGAAGACTACAAGAGATAAAATTGTTTTTCATCTCTACCTGATGAAAGCATCATATACTGCCTGCCTGTTTTCCTTCTTGTCTGGTAAGACCTCTCTGAAGCATCTTGCTGTCTTCCTAGTTAAGGCTTCTGGAAATGCCATGCAGCAGATTGACTTCAGTATATTCCAGAGGATGTGGGTTAAAGTTGGGGGATCAGAGGGTGAAGTACTATAACAAATATACAAATATATGTATCTTGAGTCAATTTATGTCATTAATTCATGAGCTGCTGATCAACTTCTTTAAATGTGGAAATGATGAACCAAGTAATCTCTTGCAAAGCTGCCTTTTCCACCTACTTAAATGATCTTCAGAGCAATGCAATGATAAGGAGAGAGTAGCAAAAATACTCAGTTGGATCATAGCAACTGTGACTCTCGGAGCTGATCAACTTAACACTGCTGTCTTTGGATAAGTCTACCTCACAGAGGCTTGCTGAAGCAAAGTCTTTCCTCCTCAGGGATTAAGCAGGTTTTAGAGTGAGTATGTGCATCAAGTGATTGTTGATGTACCCCAAAAGGGAAGCTAGGAAATTCAGCTTTGTCTGCTGGCTCTTGTAAAGTCATTGGTTTAATTATCACGTTAAACTAATTCATATAACCTGGATTTGCCTAAGAGAGTCTTATTATGGAGGTAATCTATGAAAATTACTGTATCATAGTGCTCTTAAAGTTTTTTGGGGGTGAGTGGGAAGAAAGCTGTTAAAATCTCAGTCTTAACTGATTCCTTAAGGAATCTGCTTTATTCTGGCCTCACAGTGCCAGAGAGCATGACCTAGGAAACTTCTTTCTTGGAATTCTTAGATCTGACTCCTTTGAGAAGAGGAGTCCTACCTCTGTCTTACCTCTGTCCTACCACTGAAAATACAGGTCTGCTCTGTTCAGGTGAATTGTTCATGGAAGGCGTGGAGATCTTCCTAACTAGAATCAGCATGGTATTTCTGCTGCAGGCAGGTAGTCCTCCAAAGCACACAACTGCTATGTTCAAGTGCTGTGTAAGCATAAAAATCCAAGCTCTTGGAGACTGGCATTCTTGGGACAGAACAGTTACCTCACTGAAATCTTCTGCCACGTGCCATTCTCACAGTGGCCCGGTTCTGTCTGTTGGTCATTCTGAGCTGGCTGACTTTTTGTTTCTGCCCTTGGATGTATCCTGTCTGTCAGGAGCGGCTCAGGGATGCCTAAGGAGATAATTTATGTCTATTTTGGTGTCCAGATTATGGAAGACAGTCCTTGCTTCCCAGTATGGACAACAGGCAGCTGAGAAATTTCTCTCACAGTGGATATGTGGGCGTTAGTATAACAAAGAAGAGGAAAAGGTATCCTGTGCTTATCTGAAATTTTTTCTTTCTTTTAGTATTAATATCCATAATCTGGTCTACCAGAGACAAATGGATCATCTAGACTAAGTATGTGAAAACTCGCACAAGAGAATATACCGTGCTTTGCAGTGAGAGAAGTTGTTTTCTTTCTCAAATTATATTTGATACAATCTGTAGTTAGGAGAGTGTATTAGAATCACCTCTTGTATTGGGGATGCTCAGTGGAGAGGCAGAGCTGGGAAGTGAGGCCTGGCTGCTGACTGATAGATCTGATTCTGCCCCTAATTGTGAGCTGGGAGAAGTAGCTACTGTAGCAGACCTGGGGATCTTAAAGAAGGAACTTTTCAGGTAAGTATGAGTAAACGTTCCTGCTTTGTTCTGAGTAGCTTGTATTTTGGTACTTTTTAAGTTAAAGTGTTTAACACTTTTTAAGTGTTAAAGCAGCACAGAAGGAAAAACAAACAAACAAACAAACCCCAAACAAACCAGAACTGAATGGAGATAAACTTAAGCATCACTTACTGCAGTCTCTCAACTGCTTCATAACAAGGGATGCTGTAAATGCCTCAGATGTTTTGAAGAATTGCAACTTTCAGCCACCAGGCTAAACTAGTAGTATTCCACAATATTGTTTTCACGTGGAATCTTTCAGGGTCCTTTGAGAAGTATGAGCACATGGAGATCTCGCAGTGGGATAAATGTGTGGTCATATTTCTTCTTCTAGTATTAATGGAGAGCCTGATTTTATTGCCTTGATAACTGGTTTCTGTGCTTTTTTGTGTTTTGTTTTGTTTACAGGTTAGTATTGCTTGCCCAGAAAGGATGGAGCCAATCACAAAGGTGTCTCACATTCCTCCAAGTCGATGGGCTCTAGTGTGTAGTTTATGCAAACTGAAAACTGGTGCTTGTATTCAGGTATGTACTTGTCCTGTGGTAGATTCCTCCTGAGTCTATGTGAGAAGAGCAATTTTGGTTCTGCATTTTGTTCATCCTGTATTCAGAGACGCTTTACCATGCAGGTGATTGTTGAATAGACGCCTACTTCTAAATAGCTGATTGCTACCAAATTAGTTCACTAGCACAGAGATTTAGGAGTTAGTCTGAGTTGCCTTCTTTTGAATAAGGCTGAGATGCATAAAGACTGCTGCCATGTGGGTCAGGGATGGATAGAAAAGTTCTTCCATTGAATGCCTCACAAATGAGAAAATATTGTGTGATACCAACTTCAAAGAGATCAACAGATATTTTGTAGAGTGCTTAGGAAATATGTTTTTGTAGGGATGGACTTTCATGCAATTAAGATCATTCTGTCCTTCTTTTCTGCTTTGTTGCCACTGTTAGTGATTGAGGTTTTTTGTTTTATTTTGTCTGTAGTGCTCTGTGAAAAGCTGCATCACTGCCTTTCATGTCACCTGTGCCTTTGAGCATAGCTTAGAGATGAAGACTATCCTGGATGATGGGGATGAGGTCAAGTTCAAGTCATATTGTCTAAAGCACAGCAAGAACAAACAGAATTCGCTGCCCGATGTTGATGAGCACCCCAAGAGCGTGTCGGACCAGAAGCAGACAGAGAGCGAGAAAACCAGTTTGCGAGCCCAGAAACTCCGAGAGCTGGAGGAAGAGTTTTACTCACTAGTTAAAGTGGAGGATGTTGCAGCAGAACTGGGCCTTCCTAAACTTGCTGTAGACTTCATCTACAATTACTGGAAATTAAAGCGAAAAAGTAACTTTAACAAACCATTGTTTCCTCCCAAGGAGGATGAAGAAAATGGCTTGGTGCAGCCAAAAGAAGATAGCATTCATACTCGCATGAGGATGTTCATGCATTTGAGGCAGGACCTAGAGAGGGTAAGAATTCAACTGGTAAAGTTTTGAAAAACTATTTGGAGGTGAGGAGCATCTGTGTTTGTGGGTGGAAGTAGGAATGGGAGAAGCACAGGAAGATGACTTAAATAGTAATAATTAAAAAAAAAAAAAGAAAAAGGGTAAGGCCTTCAACTCCAATCTTTTCATATGCGGCATTGCCTGCTGCAGAGGCTTTCTGGAACTGTCCCTTCTCAGTCAAGTGAAAGCCAGTGTGAAAGGAGTGCTTCCTGGCTTGCTTCGAGGTTATTCCTTTATGTATTTTAAGATGCATGTTTCTATGCACAATGGACATATTTGCTAATTGACTCTTTGAGTTCAACTTCGATTGAGTAAATGTTAAAGATAAATTTATTTGAACCAGCTGTAGTAGTTGCTAGTGATACGGATTCAGTAACAAATAATGTTACTTCTATTAAATGAAAGTAAGTGCAAAGAGCAAAGGAATGGGGCAGGCTTAACAAATTGTTATCTTCCGCCTTCTGCCTTGGGATGGAGGGACTCCTGATTTGTGCTTAAAAAGGGACTTTGTAACAGTTACAAAAGAATGGTAAGTATTACCTTATTCTGGGTCTGGACAATCATTTTGCCTAAGTAAAGCAGTAAGCGTTCTTTGGTGAGTGTGCCTTCAACTTTTGGAGAATTTTAAAAATATATTAAAGCAGAGGTTCTCACCCTCGTGGTTTGAAGGCAGGTAGGTGAAGCCCTAGATGGTTAACTTCCTCGCTGACTTCTTGGCTCTGCACACACAGAAGAAGAATATTGGCCTGTACTCATACCCGTGGTGTCTGATTCAGGACTCTTACTCGTGTCTCTCTCACCAGCGTGCTGGTGTCAGGCAGTCCCAGGCAGCGGCCAGGCTGAATCACTCCTCGCTCTCTTGACCTAGATGCTCTGGCTGCATGTAGCTGCCTTAGGTGCCGTGGTTCGTTAGCAGTCTGAAAATAACCCACTGAGTCTACCACAAAGCTTGTGGCTGTACTGAGAAGGAGGAAAAGAAAAAAAAAAAAAGATCTTTTTATCAATAGCTAGCTGGGCTCTTATCAGCAAGAACAAACAGAATTTGCTGCCTGATGTTGATGAGCACCCCAAGAGCGTGTCAGATTGCCAGCTAGCGGGTAGTGTGAAAAGATGGGGTCCTTCAGCAAAATTGAGAGGAGGAGGTTATTAGGAAGGCATACAGAGTGCCTTTTTCTGGCGGCTGGTGGGGAAAGGAGCTAGGCTTGTCACCACTCAGAGGCTGCCCACTAGGTTGTTCTGTTGGCTTGTGGTCACCTGCAGTTTTCAAGTGCTTGGAGATAGGTAGTGAATGTAAAAATGGCAACAAAGTAGACATGCTAAATGTGGTAAAGAGGTTAGAGAGGACAGGGGAAGGAAAAGCAGAAGAGAGAAAATAGTGTTGTAAAAAAAGGGCAAACAATATTGGGGAGAGATTAATATGAAAGTACAGGGAGATGAGTATTGGAGCTGAGATTTGCCCTTGTCAGTGTAACTGTTGCCTTGAATCTACTCATAATTGCTCTTAGATCTCCTCTTCCAGGACCACTTTGGATATGGCTCTTTATTTAATTAAAAAAATCCATAACATGCTTCCAGTGGAGGATTGGATTTTGGGGTGTTTTTTTCTTTCAAGAGACCATTTTGAGCTTTGCATCAAATTCTGTTGAAATTGATGTACTTATTCTGAGCGGAGGTAATGAATAGTTTGAAATGTCTGTCTCAGTTTCTGAACTTCTTTGTGCTACAGGGTTTTCTATGCAGTTATATCTTGGGATGAATATAAATGTGAGAATCGTGGAATTTTCTTTCTGGGGAGAAAAGTTCCAGTTCTGAACAGATGGGAGTTGAGTGCTGGGGGAATTGTTTGGCAGATATTTTTCAACCAGCCCCTATGCTGTTTCAGTGTTTGTTCTGAAAGCTGTTTTAAGTGTTTATCAAGAACTTCCAGTGCCTCTTTCTGTTCTCATTACATTAGGTGGAAATAATTGCTATTAATTCAAACAAATACTGGAAGTAGAATTATGTGGAACTGAATCATTGAATGGTTCCAGTTGGAAGGGACCTTCAAAGATCATCTAGCCCAACTCCCTTGCTATGGGCAGGGACATCTTTCACTAGCTCAGGTTGCTTAAAGCCCCATCCATCCTGACCTTGAACACTTGCAGGGAGGGGGCATCCACAGCTTCTCCGGGCAACCTGTGCCAGTGTCTGAACACCCTTGTAAAAAAACCCTTGTCTTTCTTGTGCCCAGTCTAAATCTACCCTCCTTCAGTTTAAAACCATTGTCCCTTGTCCTGTCACTACAGGACTTGGTTTCTCTCCATCTCTCTTATAAGCCCCCTTCATATACTGAAAGGCTGCAATAAGGTCTCCTTGGAGCCTTCTCTTCTCCAGCCTGAACAACTCCAACTCTCTCAGCTTTTCCTCATAGGAGAGGTGCTCCAGCCCTCTGATCATTTTTGTGTCCCTCCTCTGGACCTGCTCCAACAGATCCATGTCTTTCTTGTACTGAGGACTCCAGGAGAGAAGAGAGGCAGAGTTGCCTCCCTCGACCTGCTGGCCACACTTCTCTTGGTGCAGCCCAGGATACAGTTGGGTCTTTTGGGCTGTGAGCGCACGTTGCTGGCTCATGTCCATTTTTCATCCACTGGTACCCCCGAGTCGTTCTCTGCAGGGCTGCTCTCAATACCTTCATCCCCCAGCCTGTATTGATACCATGGATTGTCCTGACCCAGGGGCAGGACCTTGCACTTGGCCCTGTTGAACCTCATGAGTCAATGCAATGGAGTCTGAAAAGAAACTGCTAAATGGGTCAGCCAAAATACCTGCGTGGCACAAGAAGCCAGAGTGTTCTTTTAGAGGTGGTCTGTGCGTTAATTTTGGTCCAAACAGGCCAGGTCTCTTGGGTAGCTTTGTAAAAAGTGTTACTTTAAATGTTGCAATACTTTTAGGGGAAACTAACATAGTTTGACTGTTAAAAATCATCCTGTGGAACACTGTGGGGAATTTCTGGGAGAGTCCAGTGTTTTCTGCAGTAACGTCCCCGGCATCGTACACAGTGGAAGCAGGCTTACAGACTAGCAAGTCTTAGAAATTACTTGCTTTTCTTCTGACTGGAATTTTGTGTTTGCCTACTGTGCTTATAGATGGATTAATTAAATTGGCAGTTTAAAAAATTCCAGGATTTTTAAAATTCATAGTTAGGTATGTTCAGTAATATTCACATGAACTTTGCTAAGGGATTTTGCATATAATATTGTTTTAATTCTGTTGTTGATGCACTTTTTAAAGTATGTCAGGATTTATTTTTTTCTTACCTATTCATTATCCTGTTATTCCTCTGTAGGTAAGAAATCTCTGCTACATGGTAAGCAGGAGAGAGAAACTGAAGTTGTCTCACAGTAAAGTACATGAACAGGTCTTCAATTTGCAAGTCCAGCTCATTAATCAGGAAATTGCTGCAGGTAATCACATAAATGTAAAATATTTACAAAGGCTGTCTGTATTTAAACTAAAATAAATAAATGTTTTCTTTATGTTCCTGCTTAGTGTTTTTAACACTGTAAATCTGCCTTTAAGGACTTTGTGCGAGTACACAGTCAATGAAAGTACCAACATACCACAACTCTTTAATCTCTTAAAATATTTACTTGGATATTTCTTTATTTTATGGCGATTTCTGGTATATGCCTATCACTTACTAATCACTATGGCATCCAGATAGCAGAAACAAGCTGGTGGTGATCTCTAGGTTTTTGCTTCCGTGGATGCTGGTTTCTGGTGCTGTTTCCTCACAGCGAGCTCTGCGCTGCTGCTTCGTTCTCCAGCTGAGAAGGTTTTTTGCTTGCTGTCAGTAGTTGGTTCCTTCAGGCCAAAGAGAAGAGTGGCTGATAGGAGTGGCCACTGTTCTCACGTTGCTTTGCATGCTTCATCAGCAGTGCAGAGAGGCATTTCTTAGCCTGCCATCTGCAGTTACTCTCCTTCCTTTAATAAGAGTTTAAGTACTCTGGTTTTTAATAGTGAACAGTAACTGGTTAGGAATGCTGATGTACCAAAACCCACTCTGCCCTTCATTTTTATGGTGCCCATTTTGAAATAAGGAACGCAACCACAACATTTGGAAAGAGGAAGAGTATACAATTACTTTTTTTTTTTTTTTTTTTTTTAAATAGGGAAGGCAGCTATTTTTTCAATGTGAAATTAAGATCTCTCTGTTCTTTCAAGATGCATATTATGTTTTTAATGACCAATTCAGAGTGAAGCCTTTGTGCTTTTTCTCTCTACCCCTGAAACATGGTTAGGTTTCATTAGTACTGACAAGGTGGGGTTTTTAAACTGTTTTAAATCAAACTAGTACTTTGTAGAAGCAGCAGTACTCTGAAGCACTTTGGCTTTGTGTAAATGCATTTTATTAGAAATGTCTACTAAATTTATTTTATGACTTTACAAATACAAGTGCTTTTTTAATGCTTATTAGAATAGCTTGATAGCTCCTTTGCAATGGTGCTGTATGCATATAATATCATAAAGACTAATATATTGGGGTGAAGACTTTTAAAGCATAGAGAATTTTATAATACAAAGCAGAGAGTTGAACTAAGTCCAAATTGAAACACAGTTTGAAGCATTGTTTTTTCTCCATCCAAAACCGAATATGAACCTTTTTTATAGCTTTGTTGGAACTACTTCAGTCATATCCCAAAACTGGTTCAATTCACTGGCTTAAAGCCCTGTAAAAAGGGCACATTGTTGTTTTTAATGGAAATGCTAAAAGGCTTACCTAAATTCCAAAACAGTGGATAATTTAGAACAGTTTTCATTATCCCAACTTCTCTTTAATGTCCTAAAATAATTTCACACTAATTGTTTGCAAATGCTTCTTACTGTTGAATGACCTTCTATAATGGACTATAAAACTTGTTACAGATAACGAAACTATTACCTCCTTTTTTTTTTCTTCTCTCCCCTCATCTGTTTCTCCTGTAGGCCATACCCTGACAAGTGCACTAGAGAACACGCTGTTCTACCCACCTCCCAGGATCACCCTGAAGTTAAAAATGCCCAAATCGGCACTAGGAGATTGCAAAAATAACTCGCTGAAGCCTGGCAACAGAGCGCTGTCTCCCGACAACAACAGCGCTGTGTACAGCAAGCGGAGCGTGCCAACGTCAAAGGAGTCGTTTGAAATCAAAGCCAAGTCTTACTCCAGGTATCAGCACGACAGCAGAAGTAACGGGCTGCTGGCAGGGATCGGCAAGCCTCGGGGCGAGGCGAAGGATTCCGGCCCCATGCAGATGCCGGAGTTTTACCGGGGCCAGACGTCTGGGAAGCCCTTAGCGCTCCAGGCTGCTTTGCACGGACAGTCTTCCATTGGGAATGGGCGGGTGCAGCAGGAGAACTCGAGGCTGGTGGCCAAGTCCAATGGGCTAATGGGCAGAGCTGGAGACGTGAGCCAGAGAGACAGCTCCAGCCAGACGCCCTACGAACAAGAGTCCATGCTCACGGCTCACTTGGCCAGCCAGAGCGGTTTCAGAAAATCCACCATAGAACATTTTAGCCGGTCCTTTAAAGAGGCTACCAACAGTCTAGTGAGGACCACAGAAGATCTCCGGTGCTGTGAAAAGCCAACAAGACGACTTGCCACAAAAGACCGCTTGTGGAGCAAGCAAACGCTTGAAGGTGCTCCGTACCAGGACAACGACGGGTACTGTCCTGACTTAGAGCTGAGTGACTCTGAAGCAGAAAGTGATGAAAACAAAGAGCAAGTGAGGTTAAGACGAAGTAGCTCAGAGAGAGAAAGCCCAAGTAAAGACTTTGGAAGAGATTGTCACAATAGAAATAAGAAGAATATGATTTCTCACAGTTCGGTACAAAGGTGATTAGAAGCCCCCACGGGGTGACTCGGCCTTTATGTATTCCAGTGTACCAGTGCAAAGCCCAGCGTCAAAAGGTTCCAGAAAACAGTCCAGGACCTACGTTAGGAAGAGTTGCAGGAGGGGATGGGGGGAGGGGAGAGAAACCAGAGTAGTTTTGTTCAACTGTGAATTGGCTCGCAGCCTTCGCAAGGTTAACTGCCTTGTTGCAAAGTCACGTGGAAATTGATGTGTTTTATTAGAGGGGAACACCTGGGAGAGCACAAAGTGGTTAATCTTTGCGTAAATTCGGGAAACTGCTTCCCCCTTGCCAGCTTACGTGCAAGGCAACACGTTCATGCCATGTCAGTCTTGCGGTGGTGGACAGGTGTTGGAGAAGTCCTTGCATTGCTCTAACGTGTTACCAGAGACTGCAAAGGGAGACACTGAAACTGCGTTCTTGCAGCTCCTGCAGTGTGGCTGTGATCCAGCAACACCTTTGCAGATGCGTTAGGAAGTTCCTCTGCACACAGAGTCCCGCGGGTTTCCCCCCGGGAATGCTTGTGCTCGGGTCTCCAGGCACGTGCCAGTGTGCTCTGCTGGATCAGGCCCAAAGTGACTACTAAGTGACCATCCTTTTCTGCAGGAGGCTTTGGACTGCAGTGATGTTTGCAGCTCCTTGTGGAGGGGAAGCAGGTGTTGCTGGCGCTGCCAAACTCGCTGACCTCTAGATGTGCCCCCCCCATTCCCTGCTCTTGCTGAAGGTTGTGTTTCTTTTCACAATAATTTGCTTATTTTGTAAATATACAACTTCTAGTATTTCAGTTTTTTTAATCTCTGTACATAGTTGCTTGTTGTGGGATGCACTTGTAAATATTTTACCCAGCTAACAAGTACAGATGGCTAATTTTGTGGATAGTGTTTACAAAAGTAGATGTACTACTTCAAAAAAAAAAAAAGAAAAAGCTATTTGACACTTAAATTTAGGCAATCACCAGTGATGCCAGGTTCCTCTTGAAACTGAGATTTCATGTCCAGAGGTGTTTGTACCTGGTGTTTTTAAAATAAGCTGAATTAGAAATAATTTTTATGCACGCAGGCAGAAATTTTTAGCCCTAGTTGCCTGAATACGGGTGTAGGAGCCTTACTTCTGGCATCAAGGTCTGTAAAATTTTAGCCAGTCATCATTTGGAGTATGTTTTTTTCTAATTGCTGAAAAAATCTATTATTTTATTAAGCTGCTTTTCAACCTCTGGATCAGTTGCTGTTTCCCAAACTAAAACTTTTTTTCTATGTCCTTTAAAATTAGCACTTGTTAAGTAGTGATTTAATTTCAGCCAGAACTGAGGAAGTGAGAAGAATCTTTTTCTGTTTGTTTCAGTGTTGGGATTTTTGTTTGAATGCAAACAAACTTCTTGTTTTCCAGCTGGCTGTTGTGTTGATCAACAAAGTAACTGCACTGTTTTTCTCTGAAACGCTGAACACTTCATGAGTACACAGCGTCTTCTGTCCCCACCTCGCTGGCTGAAATGGGCTGTAGGGTGTATAGGAGGGTTCGCTATGTCTAGAGACAAAAGGTGTTCCCCACCCAGTGTGAAGATGACTATGCAGAATCCAAACAACCTGTTTTGATTCATAATCTTAATTTATTGCTTTTTAGCTTGGGAAATGGCAACGACATTTTTTAGTTTTGTTTTAAAATGAAATCTCCCTAGTTGCAATAGGACTAGCAGGTCAGGGACTGGAGGACTTTACAGTAGTGAAATAAAAAAAAAGAAAAAAAGGTATACTTGGCAATTCTGCTCTGTTTGCTATAAATGCATCTTAATTTTTTTTTTTCCCCCCACTTCTTGATTTTATGTATATTTGTGTAATTGATCTTTCTAGAGCTGTATCTTCAAAATTGTTTCTTTTGGTGTAAATATACAGTAGCATTTTAGGTTTCCACATATTTTATTTTAACGGGAAATGCTTTGTGTTCTAAGCCATGGGTCATTCAGAATAAGTAAACAAATGTCTGTTCATTTGTATTCCAGTTCTGATTCTCTCAGTTCTCCTTCAATATTTATTAATAATCCTCTCTGACTGGTCATGAAATTTTATAAAGCTTGTATTGGGAACACTTATCTGGGAGGTCAGCAGAGTGTTCGTGTTATTTTGTGGCCAGAAGCCTGTGACAGAAGGGAGGTAAAATGGTGCTTCAGCAAAACTTAGCGTTTCTGCTCCCTTAGGGTTATTAATTCAGTTGTTTCCAGTCTGGGCAATGGTTTTGCTAATTTTTACATGATTTTAATAGATACATGAAGGAGCCCTTGGTTATGTAGTTCTCAAGTATTGTCCCCAAAGTGCATTTGCTAGTTTTTATTGTGTGTTCGGTGGCTAACTGTTTGAAGTATTACCTCTTAACCTTATTTGTCAAAATTTTTTTGTGTTTTTGCATTTTGTTTTATATATATAAATATATATATATTCAATTTTCCAAGATGGACTCGGTCTTTTTCAGATGTCCCCTTTTTACAAGTACTTTTTCATTAAATTATGAAACTGCTAACAGTATTTTCATTTGTTGTGATTTCTTCAGGGCTTTACCCTCTGTGTCTGGCAGGTTGTTAAGCTCATCGGTGTAACAGCAGTAGCGTGTCCATCAGGGGTTAGTTATTTCTGCAGAGCTGGCAATACTTTAACAAGTTGAAGCGTCGAGGAAAACCTGTCCCCTTCAGGCTCCCAAAAAAGCATCGCTGAGCACTGATTTGCTGTGTATAGCAGACAGTCCAGGCCTGGCTCTTGTTTCTGCCTAGCTGAGCAAACGTAGCAAACCCTTTGCAGCCCTGGCCCCCCTTTTTAATGGGTTTGCTTGTCCCTTAGTGTGACTGGTTTGCCCTCGTTGGACAAATGAAGTCCCAGAGGAAGAGCCGTGGCCGGACCTGCTGTCTCATCCCTCTCCTTGTGCACTCGCACACACTCACGCGTGGATGTGGAACAGCCGACTACTGCCCTCTGTGTGCACAGAACGAATCAGTGTGAGCAAGATCCCGGGCTGATGTTTTATGCCGGTTTTGTGTGACCTGTTTGTTGCTGTAGTTCCCCCTGCTCCCACAGGCCGGTGCTGTGATGTACCTTGCTGGCAGAGAGGAGCTGCTCCCTGTGCCAGAGAAGGGGAGAAGGCACAAAAGAGGAGGAAGGTGGAGAGAAAGGAGAGGTGTAGCTGCACAACCGATCCGATAGCATCCCTCCTGCTCTGACCAGCTTGGTAGCTGGCCGTGTTCAAGAGGGTTTGGGGATTAGCAGTCTGCATGTGGGTGGCAGCAGTGACCTTCCTGCTTGCAGCGGGACAGGCAGCGGCAGAGTGAGCCGTGAGCTGAGCGGCCAACGTGCTTGTGGCCTGGCCTAGGAGCAGGAGTGGCTGAGCAGGTGGCCCCAGGCAGGCTGGGAGCAGAGCTGGAGGTGGGTTGGGTGAAATGGAGCGACAAGTCCCTCAGCTGAAAAAAAAGCAGGAGGGGAAAAGAGAAAAAAAAAAGGGGGTGGGG